AGCAAGTACATTGTATTCACTTGGTGTGCATCCGTGCAATATGGATACTGCGATGGCAGCAGCACTACCACCACAAATTTTTTCGTTCGATTTGTATCATCATGAATTATTATAATTATGAAATGCAGCCTTCCTCACAACGTACTTGCCAGTAGTGCATGAAAAGCGCTCAAACGCAAACATTTTGATCATCAGCCATATATTCACCGGATTTCGAATCCGATGAAACATTTTGATATAGCATCGCGACTCGCTTATAAATCAATTTACAGGTTACATAGGTTCTTTTGGTGAGTTGAATGTCGCACCGCGATTCGCTCTTTATTTCATTCCCGTTGAAAATCCGAGTCTTTCATCGGCACGGAGATCGCAAAGAAAAAAAACACACACACACACAAACAAACAAATAAAGGCAACAACAGCAACACGAAACTCAATAAAGAACAAATGAAACCAATTGCACGATGTAGAAATTTCGTAGAATAATTGTGTGATCCGATTGAATCGATGTGTTGGCCTCGACGGCAAAAAAATATGTCACGTTATTAGCAAAAGTACGTTTTACTTATTGAAATCGAAATAAAAATAGATACTTGCTAAACTTTTGATGGAAATGAAAAAAAAACAACAACAACAACATACTTGCCAAATGATCGAGTTGAAAGAATAACAATTGTGCTATATATATTTTTTAATTGCACACAACCAATTGGGTTTGTAGTTGGGTAAAAAAATAATAATAGTACGATTACTTTGGCAATGGCAGACATTTTTGTATATGTTTGTTTTGTGGAGCGCTCGCGAAATGACGATTTTATTAGCTTTATAATTAGCCTCTAATACCACCCACATGAAGCAATCAAGTAATAATAATTCCATCAAATCGCCTGAAGGCTCACGGTCCAATCGAACCCAATTAATCGTGACACCCATTTCGAAGAGCCGAAGCCAAAATGAAATTTAAAAAAAAACAAATCAGTGCATGATTCACACATCTCAACTTGTAGAATTGGTTCAAAAGCGTTTGTACGTAATGAGATGGATATACATATATGTAATTGAGCGTCGAGACATAAAATCTTATGCGCTTGCGATCGCATCCAAAAATTTTGTACCAAGTGGATTTTTGAATGAAAATCCAAGTGGAGTTCACGAATGACAGAGAGAATGAGATAAGCAACACAAGAAAATCGCGAGCAAATTGTGAAAACCTTTATTATAATTGCAATGGTATGGCACAAAAGCGATGACAACCATGGCGGCAGCAGCAGCAGCAGAAGCAACAGTAGTTGTTATGTTGAAGATAACAATGAGACATTGATTTGTGGAGCTCAAGTAGGCAGTAATGACACATAGCATTGATCAAGGTCATTTGACGGCGAGGTCTTTAAAAATACACTTCCCTGGTAATTGATATATTATTCGCACAGGTTCAACGGTAGTGACATCAGGCGTGAATGAATGTGACCAATCTAAATGGCTGGAGAATGACGACAATAATAACGATGACATGAAAACCGACTGTCGAGAGTAAAATGCACGAAAACCAATTCACCTGTTGAGACTGTCATAAAAAGCCGTTTCGCAAAGAAACACGAAACAAAACAAAACAAAATACAAAGACGAAACAAATAAATAAAACAATTTATTTATATATAAGATTTTTTTTTTTAGAAAAATGTAAAATAAAAATGCAGACAATTTGAGAATTCATTCGTATTGGAAAAAACAAAAAACAAAACAAAAATCAAAGTTGAATTGTGCAATTTCCCATTTTGATACAGGCCATAAAAAAGCACAGGCGATCTATTACAATCTCTCGATGAAAGGAAATGTGAAGTAAACAAACAAACCAGCGAATAAAAAACTGAAACCACATATTTGTAAATCGGCGATATTAAATTATCAACAGCAACAATAAAAACGCAACAATTAGAGTTGTGCGTGCGCCCATTCTCCACATGTCGGTGAGTCGATTATCACAAATCACCGTTACTATCAATGCGTGCTCGCACGCAGGTTTTCCCAACGCATCTGTATTTCGGCAACAAATTTGTACTCGGCGGTGGCTGCTATTATTGTGCGCTGATTTTCATTTGCCAGCCCATTGAGTAATTGTAATCACGTTTTGGATTCTCAAGTTCATATTTCGTAACAGTGGCATGGCCCCAGCTCAATTCAAATACCACAAATCGCTATTTTGGTTTTCGTTCCCGCGCCGATAGAATCACAATGATAAATACATTTTTATTTTTGGGTTCTGTTTTTCTTTCTTCATTTTTTTTCTTTTTGTTTGTCGTGAACCGTTATTTCGCAAATGAACATAACGAAAAATTCATAAACACATTACACACCGAAATGAATGTTGTTCAAGCATAGCCAGCCATGGATGTGATGCATCGTCCGTTCGTTCGTTCGTTCATTCGTGCACATTGTACTGTGTCTCTTGCCAATGATTGTGAAAGATATGTGTAATTTTGTGAATACAACACAAAAGGTAGGTTTTTATAATTACTGGTGTAAGCACACATAATTAAGACATCAACAAATGTGTCGGTTGTCTTTGCCGCCGTGCACTTTACTCTGCTCTTTTCGTTACTCTGCATTTGTATGTATTTCTGCAATGTGGCCGATGCAAAACGAGAAGAAGAAAACAAAATTGTCGTCGAAACGAGAAAAAAAAACAAAATATGAAACAACTTTGACAATTTTAATAGGCCTTAATTATGTCGGCTGTAATTCAATGTCTAGTTCAACGAAATCTCCCAGAGATTATGGTATTTCAATTTTACTAGTTCGGTGTTCATTTTTCATGTAAGCGCTTTGTTTGACAAATCATTTCTGTTAATTCCAAAGATGCATGGTATAGCTACCCGACTTTATTCCGCTGTCAAAAAAATGCCATCAATTTAAAAAAAATGATCTAATTCCGGCGGGACATTTGCGTTAATCCACAGTGCGATGCTATTGCGACTACTCACAACTGAGCAAAACCGAGCCGAAGAAGATCAAAAGACAATAGGCAATAACATTCGCACTACGAATATACGCGTATACCCGAAGGCGACTTTTTGCGTTAAATTTTTCTACTGCGACCTTATCGCATTGAGAATATACACGATTACTCGCCTTATACCCCGCGTATAGCAATTCGACCGCATTTGTCCTGCCGGGAATCCGATAAAAAAAGACGACCGCTTATTCCGTTTTTGAATTGAAATCGGTGTTGCTTAATCACAACACACCATTCATCTCTCACGCTTTGTTTACTACGCTTGAATATAACTCTGCGCGCTATACTCGCCTAATCGTATTGAATGCAGTTCGTGATCATTAGCAACGCCGATTTCAAAAGATAAGACCTATAAAATATCTCATCGAGCAAAATAAAAACCTAAGAGAGAAGCTGGTTCAAGTCTATACTTTCACGCGACCAGTTTTGTTTTCATTTTGTGTGTTATTCAATTTAACAATGGGCTGTGGTTATGAATGGGATGATATCTGACTGAATTCAACCATCATCCAGTTTGGCCATTGATGGAACTGCAAAACAAACACATCGTATACATTGAATTCGTTTTTTATGCGGCAAAAACAGCATAATTCTCGACGATTTTGAATCAGGAAATCATTTGAATGGAGAGCCGATTTTTATCATAACGTTTTGGATTAACCGAAGAATTAGATCATGACGTGTGAAATGCGCGCATTTTATTATATTATTTTTAATTTAATGCTCAGCTCTATTTCAACACTCCATCAACCGTGTGATAAAATACTTGATTTCATTTTGAGAAATAAACTTGAAACTTTTGCACACCCAAGCGATTTTTCAATTCTGTTTTCCCATTTTCAAAGATTTATTTCGAAAAAAGTTGTGCGATGCAATCATCGCATTTCATTAGACAATAAGCGATGGAAAATTCAATCAGCATCAATCACAGAGAAAATCATAAGCAATATGCAAGTATTTCAGAGCGATGATTTCATCCACACACATACACACACACACACACACACACACACACACACACACACACACACACATAGATATATAAAAGAAAAAATAGGAAAATCAAATTGTAACACTCGGCAGCATCAAATAGAAAAAAATTGAAAATGTCGTGATAAATTTAACACATTATGGGTTCTAGTCCTTCAAAGTACAAACCACGGGTTCATAAGACAAAAAATAGGTGAGTAATTGATCGATTCGGTGCCATTAAAAATTAAACGTGAACAACAACAACAAATTCATTACTTAATTTTTAAGCGCAGTGTGTACACTGTACACTGTACACAGAATACGATAATGATCGCTATAAATTACTCAAAAATATGATCACAATCTGAAGAATGTGACAGCATTTGAAGAACATTGCTCTTTTTTAAGCACAGCACGGCGGAAAGATAATGAACAAAAGGCAGCAAGAAAAAAAAGGTAACAACATACGCACACCGGAATTTATGATCAAACCACAAATCACATTCGATTGCGCCAAATATGAAAATGCTCCTGAAAATTAATTCATCTAATGCGAAAACAATCATTTGTTTGGTCGAAGAATTGGATCCGCAATATTTCTTCTCGATTTCGATTCTTTGTGTGTTTATACATATTTCGTCAAGTTTTGTTGTTGCTGCTGCTACTGCTGCTGTTTGAGTGCGAGCGATCTCTTACCATCACAAGCAACGTTGATGTCGTTCACGTATTCGCGCCGTATAATCCATACACACGTGAACCGCGTCTTATGCCATTCTGGCATTACATTGAAGTAGCAAAGCGCGTGGTTTACGATTTACCCCTACTAGCAATACAATGCCACATCAAGATACACTCATGAATATGGCGTGCATTGTGTTATTTTTTTAATACCTAGAAGATTTTCCACCACAGCTTTTTTTTCATTTCTGCCACACAGTAGCAACAGCAGTTGGGGATCTTTTTTGCAAACGGTATATAAAACCGAAAATTCGGTACTTTTTGCATTCAGTTTGTATTCATCTCTCCGGAGTATAGTCCAAACGCACTAACACACTTTATCGCTCTCGTCGCCATAACACAAGGAGTATAAGCTCAGTGCTATTCCTCAAAATAAATACACAAAAATATTTTGTAAAAAACAAAATTAATTTGTTACCAATTTTTTGTTGTTACACAAAGAAAATAAAATAAACAAAATGCAAGGCAAAATGGTGCAATTAACCAGTGCAGTGATTTTGTGTTTGGCCCTTTTCGGTCAATCGGTGATGGCAAAGCCAGGATATGCATCAGGATACGATGTTGACTATTATGTAAGTGTGTCGAGTGATTTTGTTATCTATACCACTTTTTTTTATCTTGTTCGAACTCTCAATTTATGAAATGGGAAATAGAGGAGAGTGATTTTGTTTTCCAAAGAATCGCCGTTTCCTTGTGAGCTGACTCATTTTGAAATTTTGGTTTCCTGTGGTTCATTTTGAGTAAAAGAAAATGGAAAATAGAGCCACTGTTGTGTTTGGTTTTCACGGAATTAAAATGCAAACGAACATTTCAGATTTCAATTAGATCGTCCATTTTTCTGACACCACCAATTCGATGCCTCATCAAAAGTCGAAAAAAAGCGCAAATCACGTTTAAACACACACATATACATACTTATCATTTGCAATTCAATTGAAATTGCAATTCGATTGTGCTGAAAATTCCGAACACAAATGAAAATGAAAATGAAAACGAAAACTGAAATCCGTGCTCAAGAGAGAAAAATCCATTCACTAATAAATTCAGTATATTCAATTAATTGTCTTATATCGTTACAACCGAGATATGCAAGGTTTTCTCTCTCTCTCTCTTTCTCTCTCTTTCTCTCTCTCTCTCTCTCTCTCTCTCTCTCTCTCTATACACAAATAGCAGTTCAAAATGTGTTACATTACCGTTAACACTAACGTCTAACGGCAATTGTTTCCCTGCGCACGCACACAGCGACAACAGGCAACCCGACTCAACGAACGAACCAACACGAAAATAAAAATAAACACAATCATAATCAAAATGTGCAAAATACATCTTCACCGAGATTTTACATATTTTATGTGTTTTTTTTTCTTCATCTGTTCAACTTCTCCACACTTCTAACATTAACCTAAATTAATAAATAGCGTTTCGTTCGGGCTAAAGCTCGACGAACGCACAACTACGCAACAATATATTTAAAAAACACACACACACATTTTATAAAGAAACGAAAGAAAAATTATAATAGAGATAGTTGTTATTTTCCATATTGTTATCTCAAATGTGTGCGCATTTTTCTGTGTTTTTAATCGACATTAAAAATATTTTCATCTGCATGATGCTTGTTGTTGTGGCTTTTTTTCGATGCTGTTGTTCGTTTAATTGTTCTTGTTGTAGTGATCAGGCTGCTGTTTTTCACACTTGTACATTCACACTCACGGTGGAAAAGGAAAGAAAAACGGTGAAGAAATGAAATGAAAAAAAAATTACAGTGATCTTTGTGCATATTAACGATGGAATGAGCGGCGGCTCAATTTTTCAAATGCGTAAATTTAATTTATTCATATCATTGATAGGGCGAGATATGCAAAAATTAAAATTAAAACGTTTGCGCTGCGGCTGCTACTGTTACTGTGTGTTACGTCTGACGCCTGCAGCTTCAAATTGGAACGGAACGCAAAAAGAATATTTGCGGCCCGATTTTTTTTTCCACAAGTTCTTTTTCATTTCATTCACCTAGTTATGGCTATTGTTCGTATGAAAAACTCTGCCTCTTTTTCCAAACGTTTGATTTGCGTAATTTTTTGATTGGATTATTGGATAAATGCAGGGAGTCAAAGACTCGTCGCTAATTTTTTGATATCAACACCTTATAGTTGTGTGTGTCATTCCGATATGAATCTTGTGCGCCAATAAAGGGGTTATCTTGCGAATTTTTTTGTTTTTTTTCTTCGTTGTCGGTGTGTGTATTTTTGAATAAAAAGTCTTTTCCTCCTCGGTTTTCACATCGAAATGATTTGATTACGTCAATTTTTTTTAAATGGAATCTATAGATAAAAAAAATCAATCTCTTCCTAGGACCATCCAAAATATAGTTTTAACTACGGCGTTGCCGACCATCACACTGGCGACGTGAAATCACAACATGAAACAAGAGACGGCGATGTTGTCAAAGGTAAGCTTTTTCGAAAGAAACAACGTAAGCGAAAGAAAAAAAACCTCCTAAATTCCTTTTGTCAAGAACAAAAATCAATGGGAGACCTTTGGAGGCCAATTCACACTGATGGGAATTCGATTTCAATTTTCATGTGAAAGAAATCGTGCAACACACGAAATCGACAACAACAAAGAAATAAATTCGAAAACAAAAACAACCGACTGAAGGATTGTGTTGTGATTTTAGCAAGAAAATTGCGGTCTCAAGTTTAGCTGGGCGACAAATCATTATTACGTCATTATGCACATTTTATGGCACTAACTTTTTCTTCTCTCTGCGCATTATGGTTTTTGGCTCTCCGTCTCTCTCTCTCTCTCTCGATGAGAGCGAACCAAATACCGTTTGATGTTTTGTGCCGTTTGCATTGGAAATGTTGAGCCATACACACACAATCCTATCGAAAATAAGAGTGTGCAATCGAAGCAAAGCTGAATGAGAATCGAAGAGAAGCCACGCGAATGCTACCGAGAGATAATGTTTAAATGCCCATGTTCGCATACTCGCCCTGTGTGTTATTTATAAATTGAAAAGAAATTGTTGCGTTTTTACGCTATTATTCTCTCAAAGTTGTTTTTTCTTTCTTCTTCTCTTCACCGCACGAAGAAACAAATGGTTGTTGCATGATGTGTGTTTGTATGTGTGTATGTGATTGCGGACGTGTTCTCTTTCAAAGATGGTTTTTTTGTTTGCTTTTTCCTCGCGTTCGGTTTTTGGCATCGAAATCTTCATTCTGTCGCTTGGCTTCTGTCTAATCCAATAGGAAAAAAATCTCAATTTTATCTTTGCGAATCATGAATGAAGCTTAGAAGATGAAAAAACAATACATTTATTGATGGCAGGGAAAATCGCCTGAAAGACAAAACTGTTTAACAATGGCAAAAATGCAACGTTAACAACAAAAATTAGATGAAGTAATGAATAGAGGTCGATGAAGCAACCGAATAAGAAGCGCACTACAAAATCATACTGATTCACTTCGTCGTTGTTTTTCTGTTTGATTTGCCGTGTTTTTTTTATTCATCTTCTTCGTCTTCTAATCTATTTTGAAAGTTACGAAGAAAATTGAATAAACAAGAGGGAAAAAAACTACCGAGAGAATCCACGTTGAAATAACAAATAATAAGCAAAAGCATTAAAAAAGCACAATATGCCAATCGATCTGAAATATAAAAGGTTAAAAGACATCAGTTAGCGTGCGAAAAAGCAATTACTAGTATTTACCATTTCGACTCTAAAATCTCTAGTTGGTTTGTGTGCACGAAAAATGATGATTCTCGCTTCTTCTTCTTCTTCTTCTTTTTTCATCAACCAAAAACCGAATTGAATATGCGCGCAATGGCACAATGTGCCTCTTGCATATTTGCCTCAAGTGGTTGTGTGTATGTGATGTGTACTGTTGGAATATGTGCACTGTTTTGTGGCTTTCATTGTTATTCGGTCGGTGCATAGAACGTCGCGATCTTTTCTTTCTTCGTATTAGTTTTTTCTTCAATTTGTTTTTTTCTCTGCTGCTGTGTGCATCTCCGTGCACCACATCTAACAAACTGAATAAATCCATTCATTTGTTTACTTTACTGTGTATTGATAATTTCGCTAATAAAATTTATACTCATACTTACTGTATGTGTGCGCTGTTTTCGTCGTCGTCGTCGAAAATGAAAGGATAGAAATTGAAATGATTGCGATGCGATGCGAAGAGGCGAACTGATGAGCGCAAGAGAAGAAAACGACGAGGAAAAGTAGCGAGATGCAATTTAGATAGTTATCGATTACTACATACTAGATTAATGACGTGTTGACTTTTTCCCATTTTTCACACACACACATACAAACAAATGAGAAAAATACGGTTACTTAATGGATATCGAAATTATATCGTCGTCATTGCAATGCCATTAATCGGATTAAAATATCGTCTTACACATTGACCTATATCGTTATACTCAGCCAATTGATTCAGTTGTTTGTTATTTATCGTGCCATCAATCCGTGATTTTCTGTTTTGTTTGTGGAATGATGCAAAGCCAAAATACCTGAATTGAACTTTTCTCCATCCCATTCGGTTTTGTTGCGAGCGAAGAGTGCCGAAAATAATAAGAGGCGCAACAGAACGCGATGTTCTTAATTCTCCGATTAATTTGCATCAAAGCTTATATTTTGAGTGGTAGGCATTGAAACTAATTATGCGGCGGTTTTTTTTCTTCGTTCAATTTGTAGGCCAATATTCGCTGGTTGAGCCCGACGGTTCGATCAGAACCGTAGACTACACAGGTATGTTTTTTTTAATTTTGGATATAATTCGACAATATTTCTGATGCAACCAAAATAATAAAATTCCGATTTTTGTTTTCATACTTCACAGCCGACCCAATTTAAATTAATTTAATTCATTTTTTTATTTAAGCCGACCCAGTAAAAGTAATCAAATTCCAATTTTTGTTTTCATTCTAGCTGATTCGGTAAATGGATTCAATGCAGTGTGAGTACTTTAATTTGCTCTATGGATGCGATTCTTTCAATATTTTTATTAAATTTTTGTTGTCTCCTGTGAAAAACTGACGTTGCACATCGTTTCGCAATCGTCTTCATTTTGTTGTTGTTTTTCTAAAAAAAAATTCTTTTGCTTTCGTTTTCGATTCTTATAAAATCTGCTTCATTTCCCGTATACGAATTTCGAATTTTGTAGTGTATCAAAAAGCGCACCAACCGTTCATGCACATGCAGTTGTTGCCAAACCAATCGTACAACCAATCGTAAAGCACGTTGTTCCAGCCGTTCACAAGACCGTCTATGCTCATCCAGCACCAATCGGTAAGACATAAAAACCATTTTACTGCCTATCAAATGCCGTTAAAATGCGGTTTTCAGAAGATTTTTACTTTTCCGCACACGAAGTGTGTGAGAAAAGTATAGCGATCGACGTGATAAAAAGTGTGCTAATTTTTGTTGTGTCCACGATAACTTTCGAACCGCTCAAGCGATTTCGCTCAAATTTGGCCAGGAG